GTGTGTGTGTGTGTGTGTGTGTGTGTGTGTGTGTGTGTGTGTGTGTGTGTGTGTATGTGTCTGTCTGTCTGTCTGTCTGTCTGTATGTGGGCCCATGGCAATAATTGCCCATATATGACTTAGCTCTATACCAAGCCTTAGTGGATAACTTCACTGTATCTAGGGCATTTTGCTTTTTATGAAATCAATAATCAAACCCAGGTTTCCTATGATATGAAGACCTTCAAAACACTTCTGGATGCTAGTTTTGTCTGTAGCATTAGAAGAACTAAAAACTTTTCAACCATCACTTGAGTTATAAGATAAGTGAAAATAGTAAAAAGAACAAATTCCATTTTTAATTCCTTCATCCCTCACTTACCATTACTTTTGTATTGTCCAGATTTATTTCCTTTGGTATATGTAATATTTACTTCCATACAGACCCCATTTGACCTGTGAATCAGTGAAAGATAAGTCAATATTGAGCTTCTTGGCTTCATCTTAGAGAACAAGCTGATGGAAATCAGTCCTTGGTCCCTGGTCCCTGCTCCACCACCATCCCCCAACCCTCACAGTTGCCATAGAGTGATTTAGTTCATGAAAATCAAATTCTTCTGCACTCTCTGCTTTCCCTATGATTTCCAGTTCACAAAGCATTGGTTCTGTGCCAGGGAGAGAGAAAAGCATCCTCATTCTTTGCCCTTGAAGATTCAACTGGGTTAGTCTTGGTGTGACACCTTGTTCACACATGGCCCCACTTCTGCCTCTGCCAGGGCCACAGGAGAGGTCCAGGAGGGAACAAAGAGTCATGCCCCTTAGTCATTAAGTAACTTTTTCGTGCTTGTTTCAGAGAAGTGACTCCCCAGACTCTCCAGGATACCTACTCAGCCTATGACTACACTGTAAATCTATGGAACAAATGCATTTTTAGAGGACCTTGTGAGTCTATGGTGGAATAAAGACTATTTTTCTCATTGGCAGATAAGACTGCTAAAATCACAAACTGATCAGTTAGGGAAAACACCTTCTGAAAAGCTCAAAAATGTTCCAGTTAATACTAGAATACACCTAAAAAAAAAGAACAGTAGTATCATGTCTGGCCAGCATGACCACTGGCGCCTGGACTTTTCTAAATACCAAAACTGGAGCATCTTGTGGTGACTAATGTAAGGGAGAGGAGGAAGGACCGGCTATTAAGGGTCACCTTAAAAAGACTGAGATTAAGCTAGCGAGTCAGTTAGTAGCATCTTACTTGGCACACAAAAGCAGAAATGTCATATGGTTACCTAATGTAGAAAGATTTGAAAATGAAAGTTCTTAAGCAAGTTGGTTACTACAAACTCAATCGAATGTGGGTTCTTGTAATTCACTAATAACTATTAACTAATAATTAATAATTAATTCACTAATACCATATTGTTGGCAACAAGTTATGGGATCACAGGATTATGTGTCATTGTTACTCCTACACACCCCTCTCCAGGCAGCAGTGAGAGCAGTACTGGATTTGGAACTGACAGACACCCAGAGTTCAATCCTGGACCTGATGCTTCCTGGCTGTGTGGTCATAGGCCTGTCATCTAACCTCTCTGAAATTTAGTTTTCTCTGTTTCCAAAATGAGGACAACTGTAGCACTTACTTACCTCACAGGACTCTGAGGAACAAATGAAATAATGTCTATGTTAAAGTGTTTTGTGAACCTCAAAATGCTTCGTAAGCAGCAGCCAATATGAATTTAGGAAACCAACTGTCAGTGCCATAACTCAGTCACATGGTGGAGCTGGTCTTCTAACCCTGATCCTTTCTGTGCCTTTTCATCCACTAATTATATGCTGTTACATGTTGTTCCCCACCCCCAAATCCCAGGTTTGAGGGTGCTCTGATCCTGCCCTCTATCACTTAATGAACTAATTCTTACTGAAATGTCTGAGATGGAATAGATAGGGGAAAAGGGGGAGATTTGCATTTTAAAAGAGGAATATGAAGAGAAGGCAATGTTTAACTGGGGAAAAAAAAAGCTCTAATGGTAAAATTTCAGGCCCTGGTGGCTCCTGAGTGAACAATGCAAAGCATTAGGTAGGGATGAGGGGAGAAGAAGGTACTTTTTCAGCAATGCTAGGACTAAATTTCAGCAAATTAGGCGCCCTCCTAGAGTAGAGCATTTTTGGTTCAATGTTGTTTTTTCTAAATGTGCACAGTTTTAATGCTTTCCCAAGTTCCACTGTCCATAGTACACAGATATTTATTTTGTGTTGTCAGTTCTCATGTGGGAATAGTGAAAGCTCAGAGGCTCCAAAGGAAAGTCTTACGCAGTGGATATAATTTTCAAACCTTGCTTGCTTAGGGTGGTGCCCAAATGCCTCTTCCCAGATCTACTTCCTAAATGACCCTTGAATTACACATCCTTGCTGAGATGGCGATCTGTTCTCCCTCACTGGCCCAGCCCTCTGGATTCAGAAGTAGATAATCTCTCTCTCCTAGGGGAGATAATCTAGAGATGTATGCAGAACCAAGAAGGTTAGGTAAGAAACCTTAATCTCATCCACTTAAACAGAAATGTTTGTAATCTTTTGCATGAGGTCAGTGTAAGGCCTAGAAGAAGATGAAATCAGAGAAGGTGGGGGTGGTAGTACTTACGAAGTGATGGCAGTCTGCAGGTTCACACTCCCATTGGCAAAAGGGTAGAGTACTATCAAAGACATACTGACATCTTCTCCTTCCGGGTCTGACAGTTTTTCATTCATCGCCAAGCTAATGAAATACCAGGGCCCCTTAACCTAGAGAAAGTCACCCTAATCAGCTCTTTTACTCTCGGTTTAAATCAACAGTCTTCAACTCAATTCTACAAACAAATATTAAGTGCCTACTATGTGCTTTTAAAGCATAGTGCTCAGAGTTAGGGTTACAAAGACAAAAATAAAAGTCCCTGCCATCAAAGACCCTAGATTCATACTCCACGTACATAGGTAAGTAAGTATAAAATAATTTGAGAAAGGAGAGAGTGTTGGCAACTGGAAAGGGTGAATCAGAGAAGTTTCTATGGGGAAGGGGACATCTGAGCTGAGCCTTGATACCAGACAAGGATTCTGAGAGGCAATGATAAGGAGCTAATGGATGCCATAGGAAATAGTTTAGCTTATAAGAATGTATGGAGGGAAGAGGTCTTAGGATCATAAGAATGGGGCTAAGAGAACATCTAGGATCATATATTTAGAACTGGATAAGAAATTAATTCAACCCTCTTACTTTCCAGATGAGGAAACTGAGGCATATTTTGGCTTGCTAGCTTGCCCAAAGTCACACAGATAATTATCCTAGATTGTATGTCAGGGGTAGGATTTGAATCAAGGACCCTTTTAATACAGAGCCAGTGTTCTTTTCCACTGTACCAAGCTGTACGACCTGGAATATTAAGATCAAGGAATAGCTAGCAATCTCAGTTTGAATGGAACGTCTTTCTTGAAAAGAAAAATCCAAACTCCTGGCTTAAAATGTGTGTTTGAGCCTCAAAAAATCATCTAACAGCATGTAGTTGCCTCAAAGTCATTGAAATGTTTCTACAAATAGAGAAATGGTGGTGGCTTTGAGAGAAGATGAGGAATAATAAACCCTGAGTCTCAGGATCCTTGAACCAAAGAGCTCTATATGCACCAAAGTTCAGGGAGAATAAGAAGACTTTAGAAAAGTCAAATCAAGTTTATTTCCTGGAATTTTAAGCAACTAAGCTGGGTGTCCCCCCCATCCTAGTGACTTTTGGGTAAATGGATCCCTGAAATGGCACCAATCTCCTATGTCCCTGTAGGGGGGACCTGTTGTATAACCAATCAAGTGGATAGAGACAAGGGTAGGAGGAGGCCACATAATAGGGTCTCCTAGGCCCTCTTCTCTTTCCTTTTTTTTTTTTTTGAAGGCTACACTTAAGGATTTATTTTTTTTTTTAAGTAAGGCAATTGGGGTTAAGTGACTTGCCCAGGGCCACACAGCTAGTACGTGTCTAGTGTTTGATCTGAGGCTGGATTTGAAATCAGTTCCTCCTGAGTTCAGGGCCTGGTGCTGTATCCACTGTACCACCTAGCTGCTCCCCTCTTCTCTTTTCTCTTGACACTCTTTACCTTAGTGATCTAATCAGCTCCTGTTGATTTAATTATCTCTTCCACAGAGATGACTCCCAAATCTGAACATCTAGTCCAAATCTCTCTTCTGGACTCCAGTTCTGCATTGCTAACTGCCTACTGAACATCTCCATGCCTGGCACATCTCAATATCAGCATGTCCAAAATAAAATTCATATTTCCCCAAATACCTATCACTCCTCCAAATTTCTCCATTTTTGTTGCAGGCACTACTATCCTTTCTGCCATCCAGATTTACAACTTGAGAGTTATTCTTAACTCTTACCTCTACTTTACCCCACCCTATAGTTTAATTACCAAATTTATTTTTTCTATTTTAATGACATTTCACTTATCCATTCCCTTCTTTTCTTTCATACAGCCTCTACCCTAATGTAAGCCCTGATATCTCCCATAGAAACTATCACAATTGCCCCCTAATTGGTTTCTTTGAGCCCAGGCTCTCCCTTCTCCAATCCTCCACAGAACTTCCAAAATGATATTTTAAAACATGGAACCAACCAGGTCACTCCCTTATTCAGATGTCTTTGATGGCTTCATAATGCTTCTAAGACAAGATCCATAATCATCAGCCTGGCATTTAGAGCATTCCACAGCCTAATTCCCACCTCCCTTTCCAATCTCATTTCTTAATACTCCCCTTCACAAATTCTCCATTCTAGACAAATTGACTTCTTAGTTATTCTCTGTATACACTATTCAATCTCCTATCACTGTGCCTAGTATCTGAAAACAATCTTATCCTCATTTCTGCCTCTTAGTTTCTTTAACTTCCTTCAAAGCACAGCTTGGGTTCTACATCCTACACAAGCCCTCTCCCAATCTCCTCAACTATTAGTGCTTTCTCCCTCAAGGATACTTAATCTATGTGCATGTTGTATTCCCCCAGTAGAATGCAAGGTTATGAGGGAAGGACTCACTTTGTTTCTGTCTCTGCATCTTGATTTATTCCCACAGGAGGCACGGAATTAATATTTGTTGAATTGAGCTGATAGTATAGTTGTTAACACTACATTAAATGTTCAAATCCTCCCTAACTACCACGAACACCAGACTCAGTTTGTCCTTTCATTAATCCTATGAGAACATTCCCATCAGCTTCTATTTCTTTTCCTTCCCACTGAAAATCATTGAGTTCTGAAGACATAAAAAGGGTCTGTCTGAAATTGCAGTGTTAGGAATCTTATACTAGTATCCTGCCCCCCAGGAATGAGGCACTTGGAAATATCAGGAAGTCCACCACCCCAACCTCAGCCCAAAGTCCTCTAACTAAAGTTGCTTACCCTTGTCACCAAAGGAACATGTGATACTTTCAAAAAGGGGTCTTTTGAGGGTTGTTACCTGAGAGATATTGAGATCTGGCATCGAGGTGATATTATTTTGAACCTGGAAGGTACAAATCAGAGCCTGCCCCACACTCAGCAGCACCACAGCCATTCTGATGCCCCACATCTCCCTACCCATTCTGATATCAATAGCAGCTAGTGAGTGAGTGAGATGTAGTACAGCAACCCCTGAGCCAGGCCCAGTTTTATATTCTTAAGGCCAATCTCTGAACAGACAGGTTTGTCCACCTACCACCAGCAGCAGCATGAATACTTATTTACATAATGGCGTTCCATCACACTGGACATACCTTGTACTGTTCTTAGCACCAGCATCTTCTCTCTACAGTACATCTAGGGAAATCCATAAAATGGAAGAGGAGAGTAGAATGGATTAGAAAAGAGAACACAATAATATGTTTTTTACAAGAAACACCATTAAAACATAAAAACTCACATATGGTCAAAATAAGGCCCTGAAACAAAATCTATTACGCTTCACTAAACTTTAGAAAGTGGAGGTAGCAGTCACGATCTCAGACTAGGTAACAGCAAAATAAAATCTTTATTTAAAGAGATAATCAGCTACATTATGCTGAAAGGTATCAGACAATAAATTAATATTAATACTTAGCATGTATGAAACAAATTGCAATCTGTATAAATACTTAAAGGAAAAGCTAAACAAGTTACAGGAAGAAATAGACAGTAAAACTATAATAGTAAGGAACTTCAAAGTATCTTTTCAGACCTAGACAAATGTAACGAAAATAAACAAAAAAGAAATTAAAGATCAAAATAAAATTTTAGAAAAGTTAGGTAGCCTAGGTCTCTGAAGAATATTGAATGGGAGGGACAGCTAGGTGGCACAGTGGATAGAGTACTGGCCCCGAAGTCAGGAAGACCAAAGTTCAAATCCGGCCTCAGACCAAACACTGGACACTTACTAGCTGTGTGACCCTGGGCAAGTCACTTAACTCCAATTGCCTTAAAAAAAAAGGAATATTGAATGGGAATAGAAAGGAGTATACATACTGCTGTAGATGACACCTTTACAATAATTGATCATGTATCAGGACATAAAATCCTCACAAACATGCAGAAAATAAGAAATATTAAGCATATCTTTAACTGACCATGATACAACAAAAATTATATTCCATAAAGAAAAATAGAAGAAGAGATTAAATTTAATTGGAAACTAAACAATTTAATCCTAAAAAATTATTGTATCAAAAAGAAAATCATAAAAACAATAGTTAATTTCTTTAAAGATAATGACAACAATGAGACAACATATCAGAGCTTTTGGAACGCAAAGTAGTTAGTTCTTAGGGGAAAGTTTATATTTCTAAGAAAGTTCAACATCAAAAAAGGAAAAGAGCAGATTGATGAATTGGCCATGAAACAACAACAACAACAAGAAAAGCCAATCTGGAAACCTACAAATGTAGTATATTTTCAGGATTTCATTTTGGTTTCTGAAATCTGAATTATGCTGTCCACATCTAGATGCAGCAGCTATACTAGCCAACTCATGGTTGACCTAATATTACTGACCCCTTCTCAACTAATTGGGCATCCATAGCATAAATATTCTGATGGACTATGCCACAGTCTAGCTTTCTGGATTATACAAATAGGGCTGGCTTTATAGGAAGGATGTATATGTGACTTACCCAGAAGGGTTTCTTGCTCTATCTAAAATATCAGCCACTTGTTATTCCTCTATTCTATCTTCATTTTTTTCAGTCTTCAAGATTCCTCTATTAACAAGATATTTTAAAAAATACACATATCATAAGCATTTTTACATATTACCAACAAAACCCAGCAGGAAGATACAAAAAGAGAAATTCCATTTAAAATAACTACAGATAATATAAAATATTTGGGAATCTATCTGCCAAGACACACACAAGAACTATATAAACACAGTTACAAAATACTCTTCACACAAATGAAGACATCTAAATAGTTGGAGAAATATTCATTGCTCGTGGGTGCTAAGGCAATATAATAAAAATGATAATATTACCTAAATTAATTTATTTATTCATTGCTATATCAATCAAACTACCAAAGAACTACTTTGCTCTTTGGTAGAAAAAAATAGAATAATAGAATAGAAATAGAATAGAAAAAAATAATAACAAAATTCATCTGGAGGAACAGAAGTTCAAGGATATCAAGGGAATCAATGAAAAAAAAAGAAGAGGACCTAGCAGTTCCATGCTTCAAATTATTCTAAGCTGTAATCATCAAAACAATTTGGTTCTTGATAAGAAATAGAATGGTCAATCAATGAAATAGTTTAGGTACACAATAGACAGAAGCAAATTAGTATAGAAACCTAATATTTGATAAACTCAAAGATCCCACACATTAAGGCAAGAACTCACTATTTAATAAAAACTGCTGGGAAAACTGAAAAGTATTCTGACAGAAACTGGGCATAGACCAATATCTCATTGCATATATAATGACAAGCTCAAAATAGATACATGAATTAGAAACAATGGGTAATATCATAGGCAAGTTAGTGGAGCATAACAGGAATTACCTATCAGATCTTTGGATAGGAAAAGAGTTCATAACTAAACAAGATACAGAGAGATTCACAAGAGATAAAATCAATAATGTTGATTAGACAAAGTTGAAAAGGTTTTGCATAAACAAAACCAATGCAGTTAAAATTCAAAGAAAAGCAAGAAACTGGCGGGGGGGGGGAGTCTTCATAGTAAGTTTCTCTGATAAAAATCTTATTTCCAAAATATAGAGGGGAACTGAGTCAAATTTACAAGAATAAGAGCCATTCCCCAATTGATAAATGGTCAAAGGATATGAAGTCAGTTTTAGAAGAAATCAAAGCTATCAACATTCATATTTTTAAAGTGCTCTAAATCTCTAATAATTAGAGAAATGCAAATTAAAACAACTCTGAGGTACCACTTCATGTCCATCAAATTGGCTAAGATGACAGAAAAGGAAAATGACAAATGCTGGAGGGAATGTGGGAATATAGGTACACCAGTGTAGTGTTGGTAGAGTTGTGAATCAATCAATTGATTCTGGAAAGCAATTAGGAACTGTAACCACAAAGTAATTAAATTGTGCATACCCTTTGACCTAGAATTACTGCTACTAGGACTATACTCCAAGATCAAAGAAAAATTAATATGTACAAAAATATTTATAGCAGCTCTTTTTATAATGGCAAAGAATTGGAAACTGAGGGGACGCAAATCAATTGGAGAATGGCTGAACAAGTTATGGTATGTGAATGTGATAGAATACTATTATGCTGTAAGAAATTATGAAAGAGGTGGTTGCAGAAAAATCTGGGAGAACTTGCATGAACTGATGCAAAGTAAAGTGAACAGAACCAGGAGAACATTATACACAGTAACAGAAATATTATAAAAATCATCAACTGGGAAAGACTTAGTAACTCTGATCAACACTGTGACTCACCACAGTTCCAAAGAATTCATTGATGAAAAATGCCATCTACCTTCAGATAGAAAGCTAACGGACTCAAAGTGCAAATTGACACATATTTTTTTCCTTCTTTCTCTTTTCATATTTGTAATGTATTTTGTATTTCTTGCTGCCTCAATGGGTGTGGAAAGATTGGGGGGGAGGGGGGAGGGAAAGAATCTTAGGCTGAAAATACAACTGAATTTTAAAAAAACAAAATAAGTGTTTTTTAATTGAAAAGAAAAATGATTATTTTATTATTGGGACATGTACATTGTCCCAAGAATGTCCCAAGAATCCTATACCTTAAATCATAGGATTTAGGACTAGAAGATCTAGTCAAACTTTCTCATTTGCAAAATAAGTGAAGATTACACAGGTAGTAAATGTGGAAGAGCTTTGATTTGAAAGCAGATACTCAAATTCCAAAGACAGAACTCAGTTCACTCTACCAGGCTGGATGCTTCTTAACATTACTAACTTCTGAATTATTAGTCAGCACTTTGTTATGGACTTAGAAAAAAGAGGAAGGCTTCCACGAAAGCTGCAGTAGAGGGGAATCAAGGACAATCTCTAACATGCCTTGGACTGGTCTTCCTTTTGATCTCATAAGTGAAAGAAGTGACAAAGGCAGACATGAAAATTATACAGGCATAATCCTTATATGACATCCTCTCCTCCACCACAACCCCACCCGCCCAGCACCATGGGGCATGCCAATAGCAATAAATTTGTGTCTCACTAGCAGAGAGGATAATTGTTCTAGTGATCTGTTTATTTTCCTGGGGGGCACCTCCTGTTATATCCATTTGTTCCACCAGGTACATTGTAAATCCTCCTCTGGGTGGAGTTCATTATTATTTACAGAGAATCTTATCCCTGCCCATTGGCCTTAAGTAACTGTTACTAATATGCTGGTATGTGCCTGTTTAAAAAAAAAAAGACCTACATGCAGCCAATTGCCCCTTCTGCCTAGTACTTCCTACCCAGACCCTTCTCACTTTTGAATCCCCTTCAGTATCCCTTCCCTCTGCCAAAGCATTTTCTTCTCTGTTATTCCCACTTGGAAAGTGAATTAATCAGGTTCCTTCTAGACATCTTGGCTTCTTTGGGCTGAATAAGTGGTCGAAATCAAATTCATATCCCTAAAAGAGAAATCAGATCATGTCAATCACCTGTTCAAGAAGCTTCATTGACTCCCAATTACCTCTAGGACAAAGTACAAACTCATCTGTTTGACATTTAAAGTGCTTCACAATCTCACTCCTAACTATCTTTTTGATTAATTTCACATTACTCCTCCTCATGAAGGCTATATTTTGACCAAACTGGACCATTTTCTGATCTCCAAGCACAACATTTCCCACTTTGTGCAGGCAGTATTCCATGCCTGGAATTCTCTCCCTACTAACCTTCACCTCTTAGGAATCATTACCTCCAAGGCTTAGCCTAAGTGCCACCTCAATCAATCAATCAATCAATAAGCATTTCTCTAAGTACCTACCATGTGACAAATGCCACCCTAAACTCTGGTGATATAAAGACAAAAATGAAGCAGCTCCTGCCCTCAAGAAGTATCAGGGGAGAGAACATGTACGCATATAGGAATGCACAGAATATACAAAGAATGAATACAAAATGATTTGGGGCAGTATATGG